TTTTAATTTACCTTTTTGTTTCAAATAACTTCAAGTAGGTTATAAAGAAATTAATGTGTTCTTGAGCTTGCTCAATTTTCCAAAATGATTTACTAAAGACATGCTGTACAACATATAAGGAAACATTAACAAAATACCATATATTGGGTAAAATTGGGCAGATACTTAAAGCAATATACTATCTTAAAATGTGTAATATAAAGAAAGTCAATCCACTTAGTATTAGAAAAAACCCTCAATAATGAACTTTTTTCAATTAGCCTTGATCTAATTATACATCAGATGTGATCACACCAAGGTATATGCTTTACGGATGGGATTCCTGAGTTAATAATGAAAACATTACTGTACAGGGCATTTAGTTAGCATAAGTATTCATGCGTTTGTTGTTTGACTCAGCAATATTTATTGAGGTTCTGCTACAAGCCAGGTGCTGTTCTAGGCCCTGAGGACATGATCTTGTACAAGTTAGGCAACATTCTTGTTGTAATGGAGCATTATAGACAGAGAATGGGTAATTAAGTTGTTTCTAGCAAAAATGATAATAACAAACAAAATGCCACATTTAAAAATCAGTGGACTCTCTCAGGTATGGCTTCTAGAAGGCAAGAGAGAGGAAACATATCCTGAGAAAGTCTGGTTGTATAACCTGAAGGGTCCCACCTTAGAGCAAATTGTCCTGGGTGGCTCATGTTTGAGCTCAGTTCATTCTCTATAGCCATGCTTGTTTTATACAAAAATAATGGTGGATTTTGGGTTTATTTTCAAAACCAAATATTCACATGCTACAGAAACTCTTGAAAGATGCCCTCTGTTCATCCTGTAGCTTCTTATGCCCCCAGCATTATGATGTGTGCTCCAGTGGGTGCTCAGCCTCCACCTTGTCAACCAACAAGAGAGATCATGAACATGCCAAGTAGAGATTGAAATCTTAATTTTATTTTAAAGTAAAATGTTTCTTATATTTGTAACACAAAGGGATTCAAAATGCAAACTATAAATGGCTCAACATCTCCCTGCCCAGATGACCTTTGTTGAAATATAAAAAAGTAACATATTAAAAACAAAAGCCAAACAGAATGGAACAAAATGAAAAATAAAAATGACCCCCACACAATCCCTTTCAACAAATTTAACCATATTAGGGGTTTTTTTTTGTGATCCCTTTCAGAAAAGTGGGTTTTTTTTATACTTATCTGTGTCTGTACACACATGTATGTACCTCTTTGCACAATAGGAATGTGATATTGTGATTTATAATAATAAATATATATTTGGTCTTTGTCCCAGTTTCTGGCACAGAGCTCCTAAAACCCTTGGAATTTCCTAAGTGAGGAAAGCTATAAAAATGGTCTTTTGTCATGTTAATTAGGCAACTTTCGGAAAGCCCCCTAGCTCACCTAAGGATGGGGCTGGTTACCAGGGGGAACCAACCCAAGATTAAAGGGGTAGAATTTTTGGTCCAACTTCCATACCTCTGGGGAGGAGAAAGGGCTGGAGATAGAGTTCAGTCACCAATGGCCAATGATTTAATCAATCATACCTGTTTAATAGAGCCTCTGTAAAACCCCAAAAGGACTGTTTGGGAGAGCTTCTGGGCTGGCGAACATGTGGAGCTGCTGAGAGTGTGTCACACTGGAGAGAGCCTGGGAAGCCCGGTGCCCTCTCTCCATACCTTGCCTTGGGTATCTCTTCCATCTGTTCCTGTAGAGCCTTTTCATAATAAAGGGGTAATCGAGTGAATAAAACTGGTGTCCTCAGTTCTGTGAGCTGCTCTAGCAAATTAATCAAACTCGAGGACAGGGTTGTGGGAACCTCTGAGTTATAGGCAGTCCATTGGAAGCACAGGTGATGACCACCTGGCCTTTGTGATTGACATCTGCAGTGGGAACAGTCTTGTGGGACTGAGCCCTTAAGCTGTGGGATCTGACACTAGTTTCAGGTAGACAGGGTCAGAATTGAGTTGAATTGTAGGACACCCAGCTGCCTGATGGTGTGGGAAAAAACATGGTAAAGGAATTGCTTTTTCACTTTAAGCCAGCTTTCGTATTGGTAGATGCAGATCATCCTCTTTTTACTGGCTTCAAAGTATTCCTTGGTAATTCTAGATTTTAATTAACTGACTCTATTGCTACATAGCAGTAGTAAATTTTAAAACATTATTTAAACATATTTATGTAACTGAATGTAACTGTATCATAATAGAGAGGCTACGGGAAGTAAAACAAGATATTGTGAAAGAGATGCTCATATTGGGTTGCGACTGAAGTCTTCATCTGCCATTGCTGTTGCTTGCCTGTGGAACTAGGTGTCAGATCCAGCCTTCTGCCAAACCTTGGATTCTGCCAAACACATAGAATAACTTAGGAGGAGAGGAGACTTTGGACATTTCTGGGAATCTTATTTATTTCAGCAATTCAGTTAATAAACATGTAGGTGCTTAGGATGAGCTTCATCAGATTCCTCCTCAGAAGACTTTAATTTCTAGTGGGGCAAGGAGGCATGCGGATAGGTCATTTCAGTAGTGTGACAAGTGCCATGGCAGAGGTATGCTTAGGATGTTGGGCAACAGGCGTGGGGACACTCAGTCCACTGAGAAGTGTAGATGTATGTGTGTGGGAGGATGTGTGATCGAAAGCTTCTTGGAAGGAATTGCTAAGATGAGTAGGAATTGCCTAAGTAGAGGATGGGAGAAAGGCATTCCAGGCCAGGGAACTAAGAGGTAGTCAACAGCACAATAAGTTTGAAGAATTGCAAGGAGTGTAGTGTTGTCAGAATATAAAATTGGAGGCAAGAAATAAGATGGACAGAGACCTGTTCATGGAGGGCCTTGTATATCATGCTGAGGAGCTGGAAATTCCTCCTTAAGTCTGAAGACATACATACTTTTTATGTATCAATTAAATACTCTCTAAATATTTATCATCACTCTTTGGACCTCTGGACAACATAATTCCCTTATATGCTGCAAAAGCAGAATTAAGTCAGCTATTAGCTTAATTATTTGTTACTATTGAGCCCAAGATCCTTGGTTCAGTGTCTGATACTCTTGAGAGTACCCAGAACCTTAATCAGCCATTTCACAAATGATTGCCAGAGCTCTGCTTGGGAGCACCGAGTGTAGGTGAGTGAGTTCACATTCATCAGCACTGGCAGAAGAATAACTAAGAAGTTGGCCTGCAGCATCCTCGGGTACCTGAGATAGCCTGTCCTGTCATCACTATTGTTTTATAAAATGCCAGTCCACATAAATACGTTGCTTGTGTTTGGGTTAAAAAAAGAGAATGGGGTAGAGTGGGAGAACGGTGATTTGATCTGATGAATAGTAGTTAACTTGTTTTGCTTTGACTTCTGAGTCTTTTTATTTCTAATGATCCATGTTTTTTTAAAAACCTTTGAAAAAGGTTGGTGAAAGGCACTGGGAAGAAACACATTTGGAAGAGAGGAGCTCAAAGGGGAATACCTCATTCCTTTACTAAGAGGAGATCAATCCATTTTAAGCACAAAATAGGGTTTAGAAATAAACAGTGTTTGTGGGGAAGGTGCATTTTTTTTTTTTTGTAGGAAGTAAGGCAGTGTTTCCAGCTGATCTTACCACAACTCATCTAGTTATACAGTTTTACTTATTTTTCTCCACATACAAAACTTTTTCCTGAATCATCCGTAATGGAATTCCAGGAAGATGGGTTAAATATGTTGCTATATTTTACAATTGTTATCTGTAATGTTTTATTTAGCCAAATCTTTTTTTTTTTTTTTTTTTTTCCCCACTACTCCCTGTACAACACAGAACACCATATGCCATTGTCCCTGTCAGGAAGCAAAGGTTTCCTTGGTCTTTGCAGGTGCCTGTGTTTATGCCACAGAGGAGCTGTGGTCCAGTGCCATCTTTTATTGATAGGGCCAGCAAAGGAGAAATCTAATGAAATTATCAAAGCTTTGAATTAATTATGAACTTCAATAGGAGAGCTAAGCTCTCTGGAGCCAGGGATCTCATTACCCATGCACTCTCATTGCATCCTCTTCTGGAGCAGAAGGCATTTTCAGCTACAGCTCTTAGCCTGGCTTTGGACTTTATTCAAACTTGCTAAACTGACATCCTTTTCTTACTACGACGTGGCTGCTAATCTCCATGATGATTAGTTTAATTCTGATCTGGATCTACAGGAGATGTCAATAGGTTTTCTCTACCCCTCCTTTTGCCTTTTATTATTTTTTCTTTCTCTCTCCATTTTTCCCCCATCAAATTGGATGTTATACAAGTTTTTACCCTTTTTGGGTAATGTGAGAAGCTTTCAGGATTCAGGTGTAGCTTCATGGAATATAGTGATTGATTTAAAGTTAAGAACTATATATTACATCTACTATGTATTCCCTGGATACTTAGGTAAGCACAAAGTCAAATATTTCTTCTTTGAATTTTGAACACCAAGTGGAAGTTTTTCTTGCTTGTTTCTGCTTTAGAGCTGTTGGTATAGCAGTAACTTCCATGGTCTTAGCAGCATTGTTCATATTCTAATGTGTGTTGTATGGGAACAACAGATCTCACTTTATGGGTGTAGCTCATAAAGCTCCCTGATGCAGAGTACTTAATGTTTGCTTTACAATTCTGGTTTTTCTTTTCATGGTAAAAAGAGAAAAATTTTTCTGATGAATATATCCACCTCTTTTTTAAGTCTAGTCGCAAAATCAATAACAACAAGGTTTTGATTTACTATTGGTGATGATTCTTTGGTACTGTCATATAGGTTCAAAACATCTCATGGCAAGCCTTTTCTGCTTGCTTTTGAGACCCATTCTTTATGAATTCCTAAGCTGCAGCTCATCTATCTTAGTAAAGTACAGGCCACTGGCGATTTTTGTAAGCAGTGACTAACTCAGCTTATAGAGTCAATGTTTTAAGGTTTTGAATAGTGGGGGTTGGGAGAATGATAGTCTTTGCTTTTCTTTTTTCTATTTACTTTCAGTGAGTTTTTTTCCCCCATTTATTTTCTTTATAGGCAGCTGCAATATTTAATTCAGCCTTTGGAAGTTTTTTGGTAAGTAAACATGGTTTAACTTGTCTATTATAACTTTTGTTGTGATGTTTATATGAAAGATTTAGTGAAAATTGTACTTCTTTCATCATTTAGTTGAGTATAAAAGTTCTTGAATGTCTTTATGTGCCATTAACCATCCCCTGAAAAATTAGTTGATAAAGGATATGTTCTCTTACAATATGATTTGGAGGCTTGGGGTTTAATATTCCATTTAATGGATTCAAGGAATCAATTAAAACACTGTGTGTCTCCTTATAGAAGTTATGTCAATATATTGATCATTTAATGAGGTCTTTTAGATTATTATTATTTTGTATCATGGGACTGAGGATTTTGAAAAGGAAACATGACCCAGCTGGTCAGAAAGGGAATGCTAATTTACTTGTTGACATGTCATTTATTTTGTACGTTTCACTGTCAAAGAAGCTACTGGCATGGATACTTCTGAGAAATCTGTGTGGAAAAAATTTGAAATGAGGAAATAATTGAGTTATTTGCAAGAAAATACAATATTTTTTTGACATGTGAACTATAAATTGTATAAAGGTTAAAAAATAGTTCAGTGTTCTTAAGTAGAGCCAATATAATTATAAGGATGATACTATTTTAGCATTTTCAATCATTTTTTAATAATGTAACAAAGACTTGGTTTGTGTTATGAAAGAATGAGAAAGAAACTGAGTTTTCTGTTAGTTGAGTATTTTTATTTATACCCTCCCTAAAACTGCCAAATTCATGAAAATAAATTAGAATATTGTATTTTTAGGTACATAATTCATTGACAGGTATGAAGTACAGTGATAATTGAGAATAAAATCAGTGGGGTATAAAATAGTTCATGAATCTAGGCAAATATTAATTACGTCTGTTTAAAATGCTCTTTATGTCACTTATGATTGTATGTATTTGAATGTAGCCGAAGCTTTTAAATGTATTGTTACACTGTGTTAATTCTATGTAGTACTACACAGCTTTTAAGGTCCCAGTGTTATAGACCTTTTAAATGATGTAGCTTCTACAAAATACATACTTAGAGTATATCTTATTTTTAAGAAGTAGTAATGTTATTCCCAATGCTGTATTATTATTGTGTTTTAGAAGAGAGCTAATAGTGTCTATTTAATGAAAATGAGCTCTTGAGCTACTTATTTCAAACTCAGTAATATTTTGTGAAATCGTTTTTTCATTTATCTAAGTATTATTTTCTGTATGTTGTCACAATTGACAAAATAATATCTGTAAAATCTGATCTTACTGGAAGCCAGTTTTTTTAAAATATGGTTTGGAATCCTATACCTCTACTATCAAAACATGGTTTCTAAGCTAGATCTCTTACTCTTTAAAATGTCTACGGTTATTGAGAAAATAAGTTTGAGGCAATTGTCTGAGTAACTGAAGCAAAATGCACTCACTGTCCCTTAGTTGGAGGATAAGCTCACTAAGTATAGTTTGAATTTTGCACTGATTGTATGAACAGTGAACGCATCAAAATATTTGTTCTCCCAGGCCCAATTCTTTTTAAGGTCCAGGGTAGTAAAACTTGTTCTAGAGACTCTAGGATTTTTATTATGCTCTTTCGCTTCTAAGAAGTTGTGCATTCTCACTCCTTAGTCTCCTGCTCTTTTTCCTCTTTTCATCTTTTTTCTCACCTTAACTCAAGTAATCAAAAGTATTGATCTCCTACCACCCAGAGGTAGTTTTCTAATAGTGTGGAGGGTGCAAGGAATCGAATGTGGGTCCCACTGTGTTGTGGAGATGACACACAGAATAAGAAATACAATGTAAAAGGTAACAAGTCACACAAAAGATGTTACTAGATGACGTAGGATTGTCAGATGGCACAGGTGATAGGCACTCAATTCAAAAGTCAGACAGAAGCAATTTCGCTGAGGTGGGCCTTGAAGTATGGTAGGAGTTAGCTAGTAGAAGAGAGAGGAGGGGAACTGGCAGAGATGCAGAAGTGTCATTTTCCATTTTTCCTTCCTCTTCTGTTTCCTCCTTTTTCTGTCCCAAAGTTGGAAATTACTGGAAAGGATTGAGAATGAAAATGATCATTGGAGATGTTTTGTTCCAGGCTTATAAGAAATAGTAATTCTCTTTCTCCCCCACCCCCACCCCCTTCATCATAGTTACAACAAACCTTAGATTATGGACTATGTATGAGTCTGGGCTAAACCAGTTAGAATTAGGTTCAGATTATTGAAGATAAAAACTAATAATTGTGGCATACACAGGATGAAGGTTTATTTTTCTGTTATCTAAAACCTGGAAGGAGGCTACCATGTATGGTGGCTTCATGGGTCTCATTGTGGACAGATATGCCTGTCTTTCTTCCATCCTCCACAGCATGCACTTTCCTTCCTCAAGCTTGCCTCAGTGTCCAAGACAGCTGCTGGAGCTCCAGCCAAAAAGATACCTGGATAGTAAAGTCTTTACTTTGGGAAAGCACAGAGGAGCTCTCCTAAAATCTAAGTTTGCTTTCTTTAAATAGCACTCCTGAAATTCCAACAGTATACTTGCAATAATATTGCAGAACTTACTCATACAGTCATACTTAGCCAATGGAGAGGTTGGGACATGTGGCAATTTGCTAAGAGCTAAAAATTGGGTTTCTGTTACTAAGAAAGAAGAGAATGGGTAGTAAAAGACAGCTAGCACTTTCTGCCTATGGGCAGTGTACAGCAATTGCCAAGAGTTCAAAAAAAGATTAATCTCAGTTGAATGATATGAGAAGGCTTTAGGGAGAAGTTGGTGTTTGAGTTGGGCTTGGGAAAAGGACTTATTTTAGAGGAAGGAAATTCCAAATTATAACCTTCATGCTTTATTTTGTTATTCTTTTTAAAAATTTTTTCACTTAATTTACTTTTTAAAAAAAATTTATTAAGTTTTTGTTTTAATTCCAGTGTAGTTAACATAGAATGTTATAAAGTCAGGAAACGACAGATGTTGGCAGGGATGCAGAGAAAGGGGAACCCTCCTACACTGTTGGTGGGAATGCAAGCTGGTGCAACCCCTCTGGAAAACAGTATGGAGGTTCCTCAAACAGTTGAAAATAGAGCTACCATACGATCCAGCAATTGCACTACTGGGTATTTACCACAAAGATACAAATGTAGGGATCCGAAGGGGTACGTGCACCCCAATGTTTATAGTAGCAATGTCCACAATAGCCAAACTGTGGAAAGAGCCAAGATGTCCATCGACAGATGAATGGATAAAGAAGAAGTGGTATATATACACAATGGAATATTATGCAGCCATCAAAAGGAATGAGATCTTGCCATTTGCAACGACGTGGATGGAACTGGAGGGTGTTACGCTGAGTGAAATAAGTCAATCAGAGAAAGACATGTATCATATGACCTCACTGATATGAGGAATTCTTAATCTCAGGAAACAAACTGAGGGTTGCTGGAGTGGTGGGGGGTGGGAGGGATTGGGTGGCTGGGTGATAGACATTGGGGAGGGTATGTGCTATGGTGAGCACTGTGAATTGTACAAGACTGATGAATCACGGATCTGTACTTCTGAAACAAATAATGCAATATATGTTAAGAAAAAAAAACTGAAGAAGAAGAAGATAGCAGGAGGGGAAGAATGAAGGGGAGTAAGTCGGAGGGGGAGACAAACCATTAGAGACGATGGACTCTGAAAAACAAACTGAGGGTTCTAGAGGGGAGGGGGGTGGGGGGATGGGTTAGCCTGGTGATGGGTATTAAAGAGGGCACATTCTGCGTGGAGCACTGGGTGTTATGCACAAACAATGAATCATGGAACACTACATCAAAACTAATGATGTAATGTGTGGTGATTAACATAACAATAAAAAATTATTTAAAAAAAAAGAAAAAAAACATAGAATGTTATATTATTTTCAGGCATACAATATAGTGACTTAGAACTTCCATACATCACCCAGTGGTCATCACAAGTGCCCTCCTTAATCCCCATCACCTATTTCATCCACCTCCACCCACCTCCCCTCTGGTAACCATCGGTTTGTTCTCTGTAGTTAGGAGTCTGTTTCTTGGTTTGTCTCTCTCTCTCTCTCTTTGTCCCTTTGCTCGATTGTTTTGTTTCTTCAATTCCACAGATGACTGAAATCATATGGTATTTGTCTTTCTCTGACAGACTTATTTCACTGAGCATAATATTCTCTAGCTCCAGCCATGTCATTGCAAATGGCAAGATTTCATTCTTTTTGATGGCTGAGTAATATTCCATTTACATATATACCACCTCTTCTTTATCCATTCATCTATCAGTGGACACTTGGGCTGCTTCCATAATTTGGCTATTATAAATAATGCTGCTGTAAACATAGGGGTGCATGTATCCCTCTGAATTAGTATTTTTGTGTTCTTTGGGTAAATACCCAGTAGTGTGATTACTGAATTGTAGGGTAGTTCTATTTTTAACTTTTTGAGGAACCTCCATACTGTTTTCCACAGTTGCTGTACCAGAGTTCATTCTCACCAACAGTGCAAGAGGGTTCCTTTTTGTCCACATCCTCACCAATACTTGTTGTTTCTTATTTTGTTATTCTTAAAGGGTGGTACTTGTTAGAGCAGTTTTGGAATTTTCTTTATGAATGGAAAATATTCACTTATTCTTAAAATTTAGGATTAGGGATAGTAGTATGGTTTCTGGAATCAGACTGGCTTGATCTAAATCTTTACTTGACTGAATTACTAGTCTAATCATATGACCTTCCCTATATATAAAATGGAGTAGATAGTACCTAAACTATACATTGTTGTGGTGAGAATTAAATGGGATAATCTGTATAAAATACTTGTGATCTAAGTTTTGTCCAAGCTCTGCCATGAATTTTTTTGTGTGGCCATGGACATCCGTAAGATGAAGAATTGGTTATCTCTGACTAATGATTATTCTCTGGTTATAAGTGACCATTTCTTTTGTATTTACATAATGGAATTTGAGAAGGGTATTTACTTTAGATTACATTAAAACTTTGAATGAAAGCCTTTATTAAAGAA